AAAAAAAAAAAAAGTTGTATGTGGTAATATTCTTGATTTGATAGTCACATAATACATGCACACTTTTAAAAACCATATTGAGTAGGGACCAGCAGATGGCGTAATGGCTGTGTTGCTGGACTCCCATGTAGTCGATCACAGTTCAAGTCCTGGCCCCGGTGGCTTAAACTCATGCTGGGTGCATATGTGTGCATGCCCAAGATCCTGAGAGGAGAATAGAGAAGAAGGGATTGTGTTAGGGTTAGGGATAAGGTTTAAGGATAGTGTGAGGGTTAGGGTTAGAGTTTAAGCATAGGGCTAGGGCTACACACATGCCCTATAGCAAAATCCTCTCAAAAAAAAAAAAAAAAAAAAGAAAAAGAAAACATATTGAGTGATATAAAGATGTACAATGATAAAATGTAAATTTTAAAAAATAATGTGCTAATCAAAAAAGAAAGAAGTTGGGGCTGGCAGGTGGTGTGGTAGTTAAAGTGCTAGACTCCCACATAGCTGATCGTGGTTCAAGTCACAGACCTGGTGGCTGGCTTTCTCACTTTCAATTTGATAGTCACATACTACATGCACACTTTTAAAAACCATATTGAGTTGGTTTTTACTGACCCTAGTAAGTACATGAGCCTTATAGCAAATTAGAAAAAAAAAAAAGATGATAAATAAAATTAAATAAATAATTTTTTAAAAAAAGAAAGAAAGAAGTCTAGGCGTATGTCCCCTCACATTTTTTGGAGGCTTTTTTTTTTTTTTTTTGGAGATTTTTGCTATAGAGCACATATGCTCATGGAAGAGACAGAGAGAGACAGAGAGACAGTAAGCACAAAATCACCCCCCAGGGGGATGGCCCCACTGCAATCCTTTCTCTTCCATTCTTCTCTCAGGATTTTGGGCACACACACACGTGTCTGGCATAAGTTTAAGCTTCCAGGACTATGGGAATCCAGCAACGTAATCGTTATGTCACTCACTGATCCCTGGAGCCTTTTTGCTATTGCGTAGGTGTACTTGCCAGAAAGACATAGAGAGAGAAAGCAAGAAATCACCCTCCAGGGAAGATGGTCATGCTGCCATCCCTTCCCCTCCAACCAACTCTCAGGATTTTAGGCATGCATGCGCACATATGCACACACACACATACCTGGCATGAGTTTCAAACCACCAGTTCCAGAACTTGAACCCCAGTTGGCCATGTGGGAGTCCAGTGCCTTAACTACTATGCTACCTGCTGGCCCCAAAGTCCCCTCATGTTTTAAGGGGTAAATGATATAACACAAATACAGTGCCTAGCACGAAGTAAGAAGTCAATAAATACAACCTCTTATTATGAAATTATATATCTTGTAATACTAGATTCTGAATTTTCATTATTATAAACACCAGGGGGAAATTTTTTCATAAAATATGGTTGAGAGGATCCTATATGAACCTCATATGCCACTAAAACGTACAGTCCCTTTGACTCAAGATTCCATTTCTTAAAAGAGAGAAAGTGAGTGAGAAAGCAAGTCACCAGCTCCAACTCGAGCCACGGTCGGCCATGTGGGAATCCAGTGCCTTAACCACCATGCCACTTGCCAGCCCCAGGAAATAATCTGAAATAAGAAAAATTCTTTATGTCCAAAGGGCTGCCCACCAGGGCAAATATGTGGCAAACTTGTCTCTGAGGTAACATAGTTATTATCGATATTCAAGAAATGAAGTTTTATGAAATCACAGAACACAAATTATATGTAGGACCTGGCAAATACTACATATGAACACATACAGGCACATAAATACACATGTAAACAAAATGGTCCATGTGCTGACCCAGGCCCTGGGAGCTGAGTGGAAGTCCCTCCCCATACAACCCGGGCAGCTCCACTTCTCTCTAGCCTGTCCCAGACTGCAGCAAGTGTTCTGTCCTGGCCTTTGGAGGAAGCACTTCTCATCTGCTCTAGGCTCTTTCTGAGGAGGATCTGGTTACCCAGGCCCTGTCTTGGACTGCCCACGGGGCCAGCCTCAATTATCAATCCCTCAAGAGAGGAAGGCTGCACAGAGAACCCAGTGTGCTATGCTCCCCAAGCCCACCCAAGGGACCACTGCAGCCTGGTAGTCTGCAGAGCAATGACCAAGGCTAGCAGGAGCCTGGCTCTTCCCCTGTACCCACCTGTCCATTCTTAAGAGCCAGGCTAACAACCATCCCCTAGTAGAGTGCGTACCAGTCACTGTATCACATGGGCCTACAGCTGGCCAAGTGGAAGAGAGACCCAAACCTCCCTAGGAAGTCTCAGCAACACTGCTTTCCAGGGCAGTCTAGGAATTAATCAGACAATCAGCTTGCTAGGGTGGTTCTAGGGAGGACTGCCAAGGATGCATGGGACTTGGCTGGATGCTGAGCCCAGTGAGGTGACCTCAGACCAAATGGATACCCTGGATAGGGGGAAAAAAGTCCAGAGAGGAAGACACCACAGGGTGTGCTAGGATACCCTTTGAAAAAAAACTTGGGGAAGGAAAATGGCCACGTGGATCAGCCCTCTGATGTGGTTGCAGGGCGAAGGTTTAACTAGGGCACTCCTAGAGAACTGAACTAAAGCTGTCTAGCCCAGGAAAGGGAAGCAGAAGGGTGGCTGGTTCAATCACTCTGGAAGTGCTGTCCAGAAGGGTGCAACCAGCTGGAAGGCACGAGAACAGTCTGGGGGGCCTACTGGAGAGTGAGGCCCCTGGAGTGGGGCAGGATGGGACAGGATGGGAACAAGGCACTCACTTCTGCAGCACCGCCTGCCACTCGCCAAGCCGGGCACTGATGGGGAAGCAATGGACAGTGCCCTGGACCTTGGCACGCCACTCCCGCATGTAGTCCTCAATGTCAAACAGGAAGGGCTGCTGCCCAAAGTTGGCGTCCACAATCTCCCCAGGAGTCTGCAGGCCTACGGTGGGGTAGAGGTTGGCCTGAGGAGGAGAAGGAAATGTCAGTCGTCAGGCCCTGAGGACAGTGGGGCAGCAAGGCCTCTCCTCACCTCCAGGGCTCCTAAAGGCTGGCCCACATGGGGCTTGAGAGAGCCACCTGCAGGAGGCAGGTGGGTTATAGCCTGCCCACCTCCCTACCAAAGACACAGCATTACAGAGCTGGAGGCGGAATACAGGTGAGCCTCAATCTAGGGAGTCTCCTGCTCTGCATCAGAGGTCACTGTGTCCCCAAGACCCAGGATTCCTCTCTGGAACTCAGCCAGGGAACGGAAAAGCAGGCTGGGCTTCGGGACCCTGCAGGTGTGCTGTGAAAGTCTGCTGCAGGGGTGAGTGAGGACTCCTTTTGGAAAGACCGAAGGTCCAGGATCTCTCTGTCACAAAAAGGAGATATATGAGGGGGCAGGAAAGGATGGGATGGCAAAGGACAGGAGGGGAGGAGGAAGACAGCATGGCAAAGGGTAGAGAGAAGCTGTTGCCCTTCCTGTCAGAAGCTCACCAAGAGGAGGCTCTGATGGCCAGTGAGGTGTGGGGTTCCCTGCTTTCCAACTACCCCATCATGACCAGCTTCTGCCAGTCACTCCCTCACACAGTGACTCCTGTGGCTCCCCACTGCTGCTGTAGACTGTTTCCCCAGGGCCCCTGGTCCATACTGCACCTCCCATCCTCAGGCCATATGTGATCCTGGAGTATCATGTGCCTTTCCTGCATGCTCAGATGAGTCCACCATGAACTCTGAGCCCATGAGACCTCTCACCTCCTTCCTTTCCGCTCCTGTCCTCCATAACACAAGTAAAGGCCACTCCATCCAGCAAGCCTTCCCTGACCACCGTGACCATAGCACTGGCAGCATACTGCCCACTCTCACATCTGGTCACTTCATATCATGTCTCCCAGCCAGGGGGAGAATTCTTCCCCAGAGGCCACTCTCTTTGCCTAGGACCACAACCCCTCTCTCAGGGACCCCCCCCCCCAAGGTAGGTGGGAAGGATTTAGATCCATAGGCAGGAGGTTCTAATAGGACCCAGAGTGCCGCAGTCAGCCCTTGTAGTCACAAGAGCATTTTCTGGGGCATCATGGGGGTGTCCAGGATACCAAAGCAACCACTAGAGTCAGCAAACCTTCCTTCTAGAATGCAGTCAGGGCACACAGAGCCAGGCCAGGCCCCCGTCATTCTGGGTAGAGGATCTCATGTGATGAGGTCAGTGATGACTCATGATAGAAGGCTGGGGTACAGGAGGTAGGTGATGGCTGTTGGTGGAGCTGAGCCCTCAACTAAGCCAGCAGGAAACCCCATTCTTTTCTAAGAGAACACTCCTTCACAGTTAGAATGATTCCCTACCTCTGTACTCCAGTGCATAGGCTGTCAGCCACATGGAGCTGGCTCAGACCAGCTGAGCCAAGGAGCTGCCTTCATTCTGTCCCCTACTCAAGCACCACAGCTGCCTTTGGAAATGCCACAAATTATTGTCACCTGCTAAGAGTTCTGGAGGAAGACTAGGCCTTGATGTTGGAGAAAGAGGAAGGCCAACAGGTACCCCTTACTGGTACCCTCAAACCAACAGCACAGTATACAGCCCTGGTTGGAGAAAAGGCAGACTCCAGACCTTGTACTTGCAGGTACCCCATGCCCCAACCCAGTCAACCCCCGACAGCCCAGTTGGAGAAGACCCAACGGCAGTACTCACCGGGAGGTCTGTGAAGGCTATACCTGTGGGGGAAAGGAAGAGTCATCAGGACATGAGACAGGGCCAGCCCCTGGTTTCCTCTGCCTCTGTGGCCCGAGGTGGAGAAGGTGGCCTGGTACGTTTAAACTCTGGCCTTCCCTTTGCTGGTTGGCCTGGCTGGAAGCAGAGTCAGATGCTTGGGTATGTGTCCACAGTTCTTCCACCCTCTGGAGGAAAGCCTGTTAGGAATAACTAAACCCAAGTGATTTATCTCTTGAGGCCCTTCAGACCTGATCCTCCACTTGATCCAACATGTAGGCAGAGACTTCAAAAAGGTCATGGAAAAATTAAAGTATGAGTATACTCTAGTGTAAAAAAATAATTCAAAATCTATTCATAGCTTTTTCTTCCCAGAGACTGTGTGTGCACACGCACACCAGAGAGACAGAAAGAATCCCCAGTGGGGGTGGTCACTCTGCAATCCCTTTGCCTCCATTTCTCCATCCTGCTGGGATCTGGACACACGCACATGCATCCAGCATGTTTTTCAAGCTGCAGGGTTCAGGATTTGAAGCACAGGGTTGGTCATGTGGATATGGCTCCCTTAACCATCAGCTCAGAGGTTTTTTCATAATATGCATTCTCCATAAGTTTTCTGAAGTCCCTTTATGTTTATAGATACCCACTGTCTATATTTTTGCCATCCATGACCTCATCTGATCCTCATACCAACTCCGAGGGGCAGGCTTTTTTATCCCTCCTTACAGAGTAGGAAAGTACACCTCACAGATTGCATGATTTGCTATCAGTCACGCAGCTAGCAGAAGTAAGGGGGCTGGGCCATTCTTACAAGTGAACCCGGGAAGGGTGGCAGCTTCCCCCCTCCAGTCACACTTGTTCTGAGTCCTGAAAGGTTCTAGTGGCAAAGTCCAGGTTAATAATGGTCTATGTACCCTCCAAAGCCCTCTGCCAAGAGAAGGGACCTTAGCCCTGAATTGGAAGTAAGGGTGGAAGGCAGTAGAACCTGGATATATCTGCAGGCCAAGGATTAAGAGGGCCTCAAGGGCTCTGCAGACTGACAAATGACTCAGAGGCAGTGGAGAATCCCTCAAGGACTCATAGTCCTTCCATTTCTTAGAGTCTTATATCTAGAAGGTCTTGAGCTTTTGGCGTGAGAGGTTTTCATGGGCTAGAATCATGCTAATCTGCTCATACCATGTGCTTCCTCTGTGCCAGGCACCAGGTTGAGAGTCTTACAAAGAACCATTTCATCTTCAGAAAACCCTGAAGGGTGTGTGCTGTCTCTGATGCTGGTTTATAGATGAAAACCAAGGTGCAAAGAGACAGTTTACAGTCTTTGCAGGACTACTTTGCTCCTCTGTGAGGGAAGTTCATAAACCTCATGGGCTGCTTGCCTGAAACCACTTCTTAGCCCTATACAAGTCAGCATGGTTCTGGCATGAGGGCAGGATTGAATCTGGATGCTCCTCTGTACCCTCGAGACCTCAGTGTTCACTCTCCACATCTGCCTGGAAGCTACCCTCACGGATCTTCATGTGGCCAGAATGCCACTTACTCCTGGGCTTGTGGAGGAGGCTGATGGAACCCCTGAAGAAGGAAAGGTCAAGTTCCATCAGTTATCTGCAGTATGACCTTTGGCTAGTTACCTCTCTGAGTCAATCTGTAAAAAGGGGCTAATGCTAATCTCTCCACCTCAAGGAAGAGAAGAGAAAATGGGACACTGTTGAAGCGGCTTCACAAACCATGAAATCTAAGTACACACTGGCTGCAACTGTGCCACAGGTTGAGGCAAATGCCATACTTCTAGTTAGGGGATGGCCTACCCAGGCTTGTCTAGCTCTGCCTCATGATGGAACCAAACAAGGACAATAGACCAAGAGGCAACTCTACCCCCTACCACACTTGACTGCTTCCCAGCTCTGCTGGTCTCTGTGAGCCTCTGCAAGGCCATTGTGATGCCAATATCTAAGCTGGCCACAAGAAAGTCCACAGATCCAGGATGTGAACATGATAGGCAAACTTGTGGAGAAGTACCCTGGGCCAGACAGACTTAGGTAATAGGTCACTGAGGCTGCAAATATAAAGACCCTGTGAGAGGGAACCAGCAGTTAGCGTAATGGCTATGTCGCTGGACTCCCACGTAGTCGACTGCGGTTCGTGTCCCGGACCCGGTGGCTTAAAACTCACGCCAGGCGCGTGTGCGTGCGTGCCCAAGATCCCGAGAGGAGAATGGAGGAGAAGGGATTGCGGCGTGACCATCCCCCCTGGGGGGTGATTTCTCGCTTT